CCACAAGGTCCAGGCCTGCGAAGATGGCCTCTCTTCAGTGACAGATAGAACACCGTTGCCTTCCCACCAATGATTGGTTGATAGATCGCACGTATCTGGAGCAAAATGGGTGGGCGTCACCCTGATGCAAATCATGTCACACTGCTTTTCCCCCCCGCAGAATTTCTGAAACCATAGAGCACATATTCATGCAGTGCCCAGGGACAGTTCTCACATGACGATGGTGGAATAAGATCTGGACCCTGTTGGGTACCGATTCCAACTGGCCATGGGATTGGAGGGCCATATTATGCGAGGCATGATCCTCCCCCACTGACAACTCCTTTGAAAATAACATGTTCAAGATAGGAAGGAGAGCGGTCATGTGGACCCTATGGAGGAAACGATGTATACATGCCATGGAGGGTGCCCGCATAGCTAGGGAAGAGGCAGCAGACATGATAAGGCAATATATTCAACAAGAACTCATGGTACAATGGCAAAAAATTAAAAGCCAACTCTATTCATATCACTCAGCAAAGGATATAACACAAGCAATTCACCAATTTTCTGGAGACTGGTTGGGCAGTGAGAAAGAGGGCTGGATCGCATTCGTCGGATGGGAAGGAAAACCCGCCCAGGAAGCCAACCGGGAGGAGTTCAGGAGAGATGACCACAAACGGTTATCGGGTAGCTGAAAATTCAGGAATGAAAATTCTGAAGTGAGAGTTTTTGGCAGTCTGAAAATCCTGAATGGTTCTGAAGTGGTGAAAGGTCCGAAGACCCTGAAAACCACCTGTTTAGGCAGGTTGCATCCTGAAGTAGTGAAAGGTGTCCTGAAGTGGTCAAGTGAGAGTTTTGGGAAGTCTGAAAATCCTGAATGGTCCTGAAGTGGTGAAAGGTCTGAAGACCATGAAAACCACCCTTCAGCACTTGAGGATGCAACCTGCCTAAACAGGTGGTTTTCAGGGTCTTCGGAGCTTTCACCACTTCAGGACCATTCAAGATTTTCAGACCTGAATGGTTCTGAAGTGGTGAAAGGTCCAAAGACCCTGAAAACCACCTGTTTAGGCAGGCTGCATCCTGAAGTGGTGAAGGGTGTCCTGAAGTGGTGATGAAGAATATGACTATTGTTAACCTTCTCTCGAGATGACCGTATCTGCTTCAGAGACTGGACTACTTTGGGCCAGGAGATCCCACTGCGACCGGCCACAGAATTCCTCGACCCCTTCCCGCCCCACCAATTGGCAATGGTGGACATGCAATGGTAAGAAGCAGACTAAACGGGTGTTACGGGGCAGATACAGGGAAGACTGAGAACAGGTATCCAAAGGTACAGGAGGCAGCCGCTGGGGTAATAGGTGTGATCTGGTGGTCTAGTGCAGACTGAAGAGGCGACCCGTGTTTTGTCCAATGCAACTATCACTAGAGCTGCCCTCAGGTCTAGTTCTCAGCATAGGAAGACCAACCAACATGTCTAGCATAATAGAAAGTGATGGGACAATGGACCCGGTTTCCAGCACCTGTGTTCTTCCGCAACTCATCTCATGTTTTTCTTAAGAGGGACGCTGGACCCGGTTTCCAGCAAGTGGTAGACATGCAATGGTATGGAGCGGTATGAGTGGGCCGTCAACATCAATAAAAGGTATATCTCAAAAGTAAGGGGTGGGAGGAACCAGGGTGTAGCAGCAGGTATCTGGCGCCAGGTTCGGGGTGAAGAGGTTCTCCCCCCCCCAACATCCTGCTCAGTCAATCCCCTGGATAGGGTAATCAATGCTGCCAGGAATATTCCGCATCTCTGTTTTTCTGATATGGTTCGGATTCTGCCCATGTAAGGGACACCGGACCCGTTTTCCAACAGGTGTTAGCTCCCCACCACCGGAGGTTTATCAAGGGTTTTGCAGCTATTGCGGGACCACTCACGAATCTCTTCAAGAACGATCAACCGTTGATATTGACACCACAGTGCGATTGGGCATTTCAAGATCTGCAGGCCGCTCTGTTTTCGGCCCCAATTTTAATCAGACCGGGCCCAGAGAAGCCCTTCATCCTCATCACGGGAGGCGATATCGACAATTTTGGCCCAAGTGGGACGAGACGAGGTGGAGCACGTGGTGGACTACTCCTCAAAAACAATATCAAACTGCAAACGACACTACTCGTCTCCTACAGGAGACTGCTTTGCAGCTTTCTGGGGCATCAACCACTTCATAGTGTATTAGTATGGCTGGAAGTTCACTCTCGTCATGGACCACGAACCCCTGCTAGCTTTGAAGAAATCGAAGGATTACTTGGGCATAATGGGACGATGGGCAACTACGTTGTCGAGCACAGGGGGACCCTCCCGACCTCATTACGCAGGATTTTGCAGGACTTTTTCACAAAGGGAGCTTTCGCCGCTCCGACCGAGTGCGCCAGCCGTACTTCTAGCGAACCCCTACGAAAGGATAGAGGTTGCACGAGGAACAACTTACCTCTGCCCAAGGGGCTGTCACTACCCGTGGACAGGCTTATCCCCGCTGAGCTATCGAACCACGTGCGAAAGCTGCTCGGGTGCAATCGCAGAGGTGGCCCAACCAAGGGTGTTTCTCGTTCGTTGTAGCATAGGGGGTAGGCGTGGTCGAAAACCTTAATCAAATCCGCGCGGGAGCTGACGCTTTGGGGGCTGATCTCCCAAACGCGACTCAACGCCGGTGGACTAGGACGGTCTATCTAACCACACGATACACTTCACAAAAATAGAACAGAACCTCATATATAAATTGTACCTAGTCCCTTTTTGAGTACCCCAAAACACAAAGTATCTCTCGGGCATTATGAACAAAGTAGTCAGTCAATAAATAAACAAGCAAGCATCTCAACATCCACGTATCAATCAAAACTCGAGATAAAATAGAAAGGGTAAAGGATAAGCCCATTAGGTATGTAGATTGTGTGACATATGATTGTTATTCTCACTGCTCCAAAGTGTGGTTTGTACATCAAGCTCCAAACACTAACCTGCATAACAGACGCACACGCAAAGGCCACATTGTCAGACACTAGTGTGCTCAACTTTACCATTCGCGGGAACTCACACCCCGCCTCACACACACAGGCCCAATCACTGTCTAATTTCCCATAAAAGGTACATTGTTTTTTAAAACGACTATTAAAATAAATCGTGGTGAAAATCCCAAGAAACACAACAAAGCACTGAGGGTAAGGCCTTAGGTAGAGTTGCGAGAATGAGTATGAGTTGAGTCAGAAACCGACCTGTTATCGAAAGATAACAAAAGACGATCCTTATAGGATCTTCATAGGATCGTGCTGAAACTGAACAGCCTCAAATCAGGCAAATGAATATGACCTGCAACACAGTATAGGCCAATACCCAAGCTATACTCGAGTGAATGTTGGATAATTCTCCATTTTATCTTATCCCTACTTTTATCTAAAATTATCAGAAATTTCGGGAGCATCTCCGTTAGGTAGGGTAGATTGCCAACCAAGGGGTTATGGAAAAAAAAAAAAAAAAAAGCCAAAATTTTCAAAGTCCAAAAATATTCTAACCAGAGTGGCATGGGACCACTTGCCGGCCGGGCCGAAGAAAAAATAAAAAAATTAAAAAATTAAAAAATATTTTTCAATTTTTATTTTTATTTAAAATTTGGTAAAGAATTTCGATTTGACCCTGACGCAAAAGTTGTTCAGGTTTGTTTTCTGCATAACATAGTTTTTTTTTTCAAAATTCTTCGATGTTTTTTTTTTTTGCTGAGACATTCCCTGGTCCTTGCACGACCGAGCCGCCTAGAAAAATAGGGTGTCCCGAGCAGTCCGGCTGGTAGCCTAGCTAACTCCCCTAAACTTCAGGAAATTCTGGCAGCGCTTCCCGTAGGAAAAGTGCCTTCGCAAAATTTATATATGACTAAATATGAAGAATTCTGAAGATTCCTAACTCCAAGAGACAAAAAAATTATCTAGCTCTTTGGATTAACAAAAATTTGGACAGCATTTCCCCTAGCAAAATATTATTAAAAGGTTTATACTAATCCAAATTAAGTTAGATAAAAGGGTCTCGTTAGACACTCCTAAGGAATCCTAAAAGATTTAGGATGAGTCCTAAAAGATTTTTAGGAACTGTTGGGGCGTGGTTACAGGCATTCCTAAAGAAAAACTTTTAGAAACTGTCCTAAAGGGTCTCTCGCGGCCTATTTTCATATACGTACACGGAGTCGTGCCAACGATGTCCGCTCATTGCAGCCTTGTGTCCATGACACGCAAAGTGGCGGGCCCTTCCTGGTTCATGATGGGGAGGTAAAAAACGCACGGAGGCAGGCATTCGAAAATTTGAATTTGAATTTTCACGGACGCACGCAGGCGGGCAGGAGGACGGACAGTGGCCATGTATGACTTACAAAGGCAGCGCTGCTGATCCCCCACGCATAGGGAGCCGTGTTCGCCTCGCGTGCGAGGTCATGTGTGGCGTGTGAAGTGTTGTGTTGCAGCGAACACAAGTAGAGTCTTTTGTGGCGACGAGCATAGGCGCGACGTCTGAGACTTGAACGAGCGATGGAGGTTGACATTCGCAGCAATAGCCATGCGCTGTCTGATGAAGAGCGGGAGGCGGTGGCGTTGGCGGTGACGGTCTTTGTTCTCAACACGATGAGTGGCAGGTCGTCCACTCAGCGTAGAATGCGTCTGCAGTTGCGGAAATGTAGAGCGTTGCTGCAACCCGTGGTTGAAGCTTCGGATTGCGTGGCCACGTTTGAAGCGGTCGTGCAGCCGTGTTCGACTCTCTCCGCCGGCGTCTTCCCTCGCGCGACGCCTTGATGGTGGATAAAGCAAAGGACGGGTGGAACGTGGGCCGATCTTCTCGTCTGTGACGACGGGAGTGACAGTTATTTCCTCGAGAAGTTGCTTATGTCGAGGCCAGTCTTAATGCAGCTTGTCGCCGCATGTGCTGCGTATGTGGAGAAGAAGGCCACACATTAGAGGCTGCCATTGCCCGTGGAGTAGGTGATTGTATTCGCGTTGTATAGGTGGGCATCTGGGGAGACTTACGAGAGCGACACGTCATCCTTCGACATTGGCAGGGCTACTGGACTGCTGGCCATCCACGACGTCACCTCGGCATTGTTGAAGGTGTACCCGGCCACGATCAAGTGGCCGACGGGGCGGAGACGTGTGCAGATTATGCGCGCTTTCCGGGAGAAGGGTTTCCCGAACTGCTATGGTGCAATCAACTACACGCACATCCATATCGACAAGCCCGCCGACGCGGCGTCAGATAACTACTATGACCACAAACAAAAGTTTTCAGTCCAAGCCCAGGTGGTCGTGGATTTGGACTTGCGTATCCTGAACGTCCATGTCGGATACCCAGGCAGTGTGCATGACGTCCGTGTCTTGCACAACTCCCATTTGTGGAGGCGCGCAGAAAGTGGGGAGTTGTTCGACGCCCCGCCGAAGAATCTACTGCACCCCGTCGTCATGCTAGGTTACCTTCTCGGCGACAACGGCTAACCCGTTGCCTGTCCATGGATCGTGCATCCGTACGGAGGAATCGACCAACCTCTTGACGAGGAGCACTTTGACACGAAGCAGAAGGTGGCGTGCGGTTGTGTAGAGAGAGCTTTCGGGCGGTTGAAGTGCATGTGGCATCTGTTCCTACGCACCCACAAAACGAACTTGGAAACCTTGCCTCAACAGTTCGTCGCCGTTTGCACTCTCCACAACATCCTCCTGGACACGGTGATTGAGTTCGACGAAAACCTGTTGTGGGAGGTTGACGGCAACGACGTCCGGTGTAGAGTGGACTTGGGTATTGTGGGGAACACCATGCAAGGTCGACAACGATGAGCGAACGTCAACGGGGACCTCTTGCGGGATGCACTCCTCGACCGGTTGACATTGATGTAGGACTCTTTGGGGAATCGTGGTAGAGCTATGTTTGCAGGGGCGGGTGGTGATGTGTGTTTTTTTCATGTCACGATCAGCCATTGGTTAGATACTCTGTCGTCGGCGCGTTTGCACGCCATGTTCGCAGGGAGACGGGGATGGTAGGTACGACCATGCTAAACGACATTGGGGTGACGTCATTTGTGGCCTCTTCTTTAGGTTCGCGTGGTCTGGCAGTGACAGTCGTTCCTTGAGGATGTGATGCGTCTGAAGGTGGGTTTTTTTTTTCCGCCTTTTTTTTAATGCAGCCCTCCCCCAACTTTAACTATCTTCGTCGCCGGAGTTGTTTTGAGCACTTTCAGTGGACTATCAGATGGCGGAACATATGACTTTCATGTCTTTCGACAGTGATGGAAGGTTTACAAAATTGTGTGTCATCGTCTCATTTTCTCTACTTCATTGCTCATTTCGGAAGTTGGGGATGTGAAAGGTATTGTCGGGTATGTGTGTGAGATTGTGAATCACCATTCAATTTAACGTGTCTTCATTTTCATGGTTGTCGTTTGTGTTTGTGAAATTGTGAAATTTCTCTTCAATTATACGTACCCGAGTTGTCGTGAATTCATGCCGCTCATTGTAATGTGTTGAACGCAATTCATCTTTTTGTTTTCCTTCGATTCAAAATCCAATCACGCAATGCCATAGCAAGGAGGATGTTGATTGCAGATGGGTCAGTAATATTTCGTTCTCCATATCGACTACCGAACCTTTGCACGCATTTTGAAAACTGAAACACTAAAACACTCAATCACGTGACATATATTTCAACATTTAAACACAAAATGTCATTAGACAGCACACAAACCATCGGCTGAGCATGAACATCGATTGGCACACGACTGCGGAAAAAGTCGTCATTAAAAAAAAAAAACAATATCCTTCTTCATCATCGACCATTCCCGGAAAACAAAAACAAACACATTACACGACCATTCTGGGGAAGAAAAAACATACACACTACACCCAGCCGATCGCCGCCTAACCCACAAGCAATCCTACATGCAACACTTGGGAAAGTTCCACCATCCAATGCCATACCCCCCCAAAGCATTATCGTCGCCGCATCATTGTTGTCGCACCATGGTCTACCCGACGTTCAACCATCATCCTCCCCCGCATCATTGTCAGCGCCCCCCGGGGGGCCTGTCCCCAACCACTCTAGCCACCTTGCATCGTTGGGACCTGATATGTTGGTGTCATGGTTGAAGACGGCGCCGCAAGATGCCCGCTCGGGAATGTAGTTGGGGAAGTGCCCCAAGGTTATGTTCACCTTGCCCAGCCGCTCCGTCACCGCGTTTACTGAAGAGATGCTGTGCCGCCGAATACCCGATGCATGGAGGCAACGAGCAGGGGCTTGGCAAGAATGTTCGCGAAGTAGAATGCCTCGAGGTGCGATCGCAGATAGTCTCCCGCCATTCGCATATCCATTCGCATATCCACGCCGAATATCCACGCGGAATATCACACGCGGCGAGCAGCAGCGTGAAGCTGTCGGCTACATGTGGGAGACGATCGTGTGTGATGCATCCTCCGTCGATGGTCTGCCCTGTCTCAACCGGTGTGCTGGAAGCCCCGACCAGTCGCATGATAGTAGCCTCCTGGTACGCCGCCATGTCGTCGTCTTCCAGTCTGTCTTCGACGTGTGCCCCTGCAAACCAGAGTGGCAGGTCCATCCGCATGTCCAACGTGTGCGTGCATATGGCGGGGCTGATGACGTCGCTCGAGTCCTCACCATGCCACATCGCGCGGGTGATGTCTATCGCGATAGACTGTAGGGTGTATTGGAAGGCGACAGTGTAACCTCTAGCTCTAGACCTCGATTTGAAGACCCATCCGTGCAATACACGCAACGCCACATTCTTAACTTTCGATACGCGGCTCAATGCTTCCTGCAGCTGCCCTGGATCCGTGAGCTTGATCTGTGACACGTTGGATTTCGGCATGGTGACGCTTCTGGGGAGCTTCGGGAGAGGAAGGCCGCTCGCGATATTGACGAAGTATTCACGTGTCTCGTGGATGATATTGTACAACCTGCGCCCCTCCCCTGATGTCCAAAACGCTTTCTCATCTACCCACAATTTCGCCCGCTCCGCCAAATCCTTCGCCACGCCTCCCTTTCATACCCTGTTGGCAAGAGGTTCATCATTTTCGCCCACGTTTCTTTTCTCGAACCGCGCACCCTCCAACTGGCGGTTCACTTCCTCTCTCCCTTGACCCTCCGCAGCCGCCCCCCGCAATGTTCCTGGTACCTATGAAACACCCGTGGACGCGTCAGCGGGTCCGATATCGGATGGCAGACGCAGATGGGGCCGCTTCCGCGGCCGACCTGGTCAGTGCCGCGGACCCGATTTTACCAGAATTTTCCTGAATTAAATAATAGGTTATAAAAATAAAAAAACAAATGTGGTTGTAGGGAATTTTAAGCCCTACAACCCCATATTTTTGTTTTTGGAATCCGACTTTGTTTAGGATTTTTAAAAAATCAAAAACTAAATTCGATTAAAAAAAAAAAAAAAAAAAAATTGGATTTTTTTTTTGTCATCTTTTATCATGAGATATATGATCCCTGAGTTCACCTGTATTTTTTTAGAAATGAATTTCTGTTTTTTGCAGGGGTATGAGGTGTTTTAAAAAAATGCAGATGCAAAATTTGAAAAT